AAATCGGCTACCGCTTGCCCTTTGACAGCTGTTCTCGGCTCATACGTTATGTCAAATGAACTCAACTCTATGGCCCACTTTGTCATTCTGCCCGAGAGCTCTGGCTTGTGCATAAGCGTTCTGATTGGAAAAGTTGTTAGAACAGCTATAGGGTGGGATTCGAAATAATGCCTCAACTTTCTTTTTGCATTTACAAGTGCAAGTATCACCCGTTCGGCCTTTGAGTACCTTTGTTCTGCCTCTGTCATTGTTTTGCTTACATAAAATACCGGGTATTGCACCCCTTCCTTGCAACGAATCAGAACGGCACTTGTCGCGACACCAGATACTCCAAGATATAGAAATAACTTTTCTTCTGGATCCGGGGCTGACAGGACTGGTGGATTCTGCATATATTCCTTCAAATGAGTCAATGCTTGTCGTTGCTCATCCCCCCAGACCTGCCTTCCATGGCTCCGAATCGTGTCAAAGAACGGCTTACAGTGATCTGACAATTTTGAAATGAATCGACTTAATGCAGCCATTCGTCCTGTGAGGGCTTGCACCTCTCTGATCGTCTTTGGCTCGGCATTCTTAATCAAAGCCTCTGCTTGAGCGGGGCTAACTTCGATGCCTCTACGGTTGACCACGTGTCCCAAAAACTGACCGGAACTCACACCGAACGAGCACTTGGTTGGATTGAGCCTCATCCCATATCGCTTCAGTACATCAAATACATCTTGCAGATGCTTCAGATGATCATCCTTCTTCCTACTCTTTACCACCATATCATCAATATAGGCTTCCACAATCTTTCCCATTTGATTCTTGAAAATTTTGCTAACAAGTCTTTGATAAGTTGCTCCCGCATTCTTTAGTCCGAAAGGCATAACTTTGTAGCAGTATGTTCCTCGCTCGGTTACAAAAGAAGTTTTTTCTTCATCTGCGGGGTCCATAGGGATCTGATTATAACCTGAATAAGCGTCCAGAAAGGTTAAACGCTCATACCCGGTGGTGGCATCCACCATTTGATCAATCTTAGGCAGCGGGAAGCTGTCCTTTGGACAGGCTTTGTTCAAATTGGTGAAATCAATGCATACTCGCCATCTCCCATTCTTCTTCTGCACGACAACGACGTTGGACAACCAATCGGGGTAGTGCACTTCTCTGATAAATCCCGCATTAAGCAACCTATCAACTTCTTCCGCTATGATTTGATTGCGTTCTGGAGCAAATCTTCGTTGCTTCTGTTTCACTGGTTTGAAATTGGGATTGACATTCAGGGAATGACAGGATACGGAGGGATTAATTCCAGGCATGTCTAGGTGACTCCATGCAAATACGTCGGCATTGTGGGACAAGAAGTCCACTAGCTCTTGCTGCTCTTCTCTGGTCAGTCTTATACCTACTCTGGTAGTTCGTTCTGGCCTGGACTGATCGATCTGCACATCCAGAAGGGGCTCTTCGGTCAAGTCAACTGACTCCTCCACCCTGTTCTGCTCGGGCGGAGGTTCCTGTAATTGCTATCTGGGGCTTGCCGATCGGACGGACGCCTTCCTTTTCCCAGCATACTTTAGTGTGACGGAATAACACTCTTTGGCTGCAACCTGATCCCCCCGAATGTCTATCACTTTATCTCTATTGGGTCCGAGGCACCTCATGACCTGATGCAGAGTTGAGGGTACACCTTGGACTCTGTGAATCCATCCTCTTCCCATCAGGAGATTATACGAGGGGTGAATTTCTACAACCACAAAAGTTTCCATAAGAGCTCGTTCTGCAGCTTGAACTTCTACTTCCACCATCCCGACGGGCTCCACCCTCTTTCCATCGAACCCTAACAGGGGATTTCCAGTGGGCTTGAGCCTCTCTGGTTTAATCTCGAGCCGATTAAATGTGTCCCTCGGCATGACATTCGCACTGCTCCCGGGATCGATCAGAACTCTGCGCACCAAGCAGTCTGCCACTGTTAAACTGACTACCAGCGGGTCTTCATGGGGGACTTGAACACGCTGCAGGTCTGTCCTGTCGAACTTTATCTGCATCGACGTGATCTGCTGGTGTAGAGTATTCACACTGCTGACCCTTTTCTTCATCTGCGCCTACCGTAGGCGCGCTCGGAGTAGCTCATCTGACTCTTCGCTAGGCTCGGGTCGACCGTGGATAGCATTGATTATACGAACTGGTTGTGAATTGTGGGAGCTTTATTTATGACCCCTTTTTATTTGTTCCGCCGGTCGATTCTGCTCTATCGCCGAGCCTTGAACATAACTCGCGAACTCCCCTCTAGCTATCAACATCTCCACTTGCCTTCTCAAATTCCTGCATTCGTTAGTCTGATGACCGAAATTGGAATGGAAAGCACAATGTTTAGTCTGATCCCTCTGTTCGAGGGGTTGCCTAATTGGCAGTGGTGGATGAAACTTATCTTTGTTCTCCTGATATAGCCTCGCCAGAGTGACCTTCAGTGGAGTAATCATCTCTTCCTCCCTGGACCTCTTTTCTGCCTTCCAGGAGGTCTGACGCTGCGGCTGAGTTTGCTTCTGCCTGATCTTTGCCTTGGACTTCTCCTCGGTCGACACGAGCGACGCTGTCCGAGCATTGGCTGCCTCCTCTTCTTCTAGGCGCACAAAGCCGTCGGCTCTTTCATTAAGTTCATCCATAGTCGTCGGCGTGTTCACTACCAGACTGGTATGGAACGGAGTGCCAAGTGTCATGGCCAACTTGAAGGCTTGAACCGCTGTAGAAGGGTGGCATTCGATCACCATACTCTTAGTGAGATTAAACCTGGTGAGAAAAGCCTGGAGACGTTCATCTTTGTGCTGTCTCATTGTGAATAGGCTTGAGATGTCCTTTGGCGGGCGCTTGTTCCCATAGTACTGACTTATGAACCGATCGCACAGATCTCGGAAGCTACCAATGGAGCTCTTAGGCAAGTTCTTGAACCAGCTGAGCGCCGGTCCAGCTAGGCTTGTAGGGAAACATTTGCACATTAAAGCATCGTTTTCCGTATTCAGGGCCATCTTCAACTGGATATGGTACACATGATCGATCGGATCGGTTGTTCCGTCAAACAGAATAAACACTGGCATAGCAAACTTCCTTGGATGAGGGGCATTCAGGATCTCGTCAGTGAATGGTGAATCAACCGTTTGAGCTGCGGATCGGAGCGCTTCATTCTCTCTTTGGCGCCCAGTGGTAGCTCTGTGGGCTACGGTTCTGCTCTCCGAACCGCGATGAGTGATTGTAGCCATGGAAGGCCGGTAGGACAGATCGAATGACCGTTCCTCTATGAGCTCTCTTTGCCACGGCGACGCAACTCGGCGGCGATCAACCTCTATCACCTCCTCTCGGTTGAACTTTTCCCGATGTGGATCTAAGGTCATGGCTTCATTCTGTCTGATCTGCTCATGTCGCGGATCAACGTAAGTCGATCCTTCGTGATCTTCAACTCAACGAACATTTGGCGGCAAATTGTCCATCATCCTTTCATCACGGTGGTGAGCTGACTGATTGTTCTCGTCCTGCTCGCCCTGATGCGCGATATTAGATTGAACACCTCCTTCACCGACCGGAAGTGGATGCGAAACCGCAGGTATTTGCTGATGTTGCATTCCAGCTTTCAATTCTGCATTCTCTTTTTTGAGAGCTTTGATCAAGTTCATCAACTCCTCAAGCTTCGTTTGCTGGATAGCCTCCATCGGATTGGAGCTTTCACCTATCATTATTCCTGAACGGAGTAAAGGCATTAATCTCAGATTCGTGAGTAGATCTGAGCTTCGTGAGTGCGAATTTTTCAGATCTGGTTTCGAATTCTCCGAATTATGCTTACGGTTGACGAGATCTGAATTGTCCGAATACTAAATCTGTCAGATCCTGCCACAATCGAGCAACTCGTTGTTGCGTTGTTCCGAAGCCACTTCCGCCAAAGCAGCAGGAACTAAGATTCTTCCAGAGTAGGTCACAATCGCTCAGATCTGGATCCAACTCCCAAAGATTGAGTTTCGTTTCCACGAATTGGTCTGAATTCACACAATATTGATCAGTTGATCAATCAATCTTTAACGCTTCCCACAGACGGCGCCAATTGAAGATGCAAGAAATTCATACTCTCTTTCTCTCTCTAGAATTCTTACATTTCAACAAAAAATCTCCTCCCCTTTTCTTTTCATTCCTTCTCCTATTTATAGATATTTACAAATGTTGACAGATTGCTGGATCTGGGCCTGTTCCTCCATAAGTCCTGGTCACCTTTGATGGGCTTATTCGCGTTCGGCCCATATGGCAGTGTCTTTTTATGGGCCGACCCAGCTATACGGACCGGATGTCGTGTTTGCAAGTCATATCCGGCCCATGTCGTCCTGGGCCTCCTCAGAGGTTTTCATGTAATCTTTTTTACTTAAAATCAATGTAGGACTTTGTAATTTGAATTAAACTCTTTTTATATTTTGTTAATTTGAATTAATTTTAATTTTATTAGGTAATTTTAAGTTTTATATAATTTATATCAATTAATAAATAAATATTGAAATACTGAAACACTTTGCACATTTAATAATAGTATAGATTTAATAGAGTCAATATCTTATCATTTTAAAAGAATGTAGTTGACCAAAATGTTAACGTGAACATAAAAAACACTGTTTACTCTCGTTGAAGTACCACTTTTAAACACATATCTATCATTTTTTGTGCATCAGATATCACTTTTATTTTAGATATAGAGGTACTACTTTTTGTGCAATATAAAAAGTGGTACCTGATGACAAAAAGTGGTACCTCATTAAGGATAAATAGTATTTTCTAATGTTTTTATATTTTCTAAACTACGAGACTTTGATTTTATTAAATGATAAATATAAGTCATTAACACTATTTATATGTAATAATTTCTTTAATTAATTGCACACACTGAACTTTATACATACGGTAGCGAGTCGTTGCTACCATATAGAAGTATATAGTTATATAAATATATATAATTCAGGGGCTGTTTAGTTTTAGTGAAATTTTTTTGAATGAAAATAATAATATATGGTGTTTATGTGATTTTTTCCCTTATATTATATATGATAGTATATTGTACCATTAAAATTTCTTCTCTTTTCTTTTTTATTAAAGAAGTACCTTTATTTTATTTTATTTTATTTTTTCCCACCAGTGTCTGTTACATTTCTTTGCCTTCACTTTCTCTCTAGAGTTCTATATAAAATGTTTTTCGTAACTTAATTATATCTTTAAAGAAACAAAGTCGGCAAAAAGGGTGGTTATGTTCAAATTTAACTTACAACAGTTGGATTTTGTGCATAAAACCTTTAATCGATACAAGCACATAGAATTGATTCATAATGTTCATAGCACTGCGAATTCTATTGATATTGCACTTCCGAACTTTGTATTGAATCAGCATCTGAACGCCTTATCGAAATCGGCCCGAACTGATGAAGCCCGCCAACTGTTTGACAAAATGCTCAACAGGGATGAGTTTACGTGGAATACAATGATTGCTGCTTATGCAAATTCAGGAAGATTACCTGAAGCTAGAAAGCTTTTTGATGAGACCCCGAAGAGGGATTCTATCACTTGGTCATCACTCGTTTCTGGGTATTGTCGACGTGGGTGTGAAGTCGAAGCATTGAGTTTGTTTTACCAAATGCAGTTCGAGGGGCAAAAGCCAAGTCAGTACACATTGAGCAGTGTTCTTAGAATGTGCTCGGCTAATGGGTTGCTCTTGAGAGGGGAGCAAATTCATGCTCATGCGATAAAGACCCGTTTGGATTCAGATGTTTTTGTTAATACTGCTCTTGTTGACATGTATGCAAAGTGTAAGTGCATTTCAGAAGCTGAGTATCTCTTTGAAATGACGCCAGATAAGAAAAATCATGTTATGTGGAGTGCCATGGTTACTGGGTACTCTCAAAATCGCGATGGTGCCAGAGCGATTAAGTGTTTTCGTGCTATGCGAGCTGAAGGGGTTGAGTTGAATCAGTTTACTTTTCCAAGTGTGTTGACAGCTTGTGCTGCAATTTCAGCAAGTGGTTTTGGGGCGCAGGTGCATTGTTGCATAATTCGGACTGGTTTTGCGGCTAATGTGTTTGTTGAAAGTGCTTTAGTTGATATGTATGCAAAATGCGGAGACTTGAAGAGTGCTAAGAGGGCATTAGAGACTATGGATGTTGAAGATGCAATCTCTTGGAATTCCATGATAGTTGGGTATGTGAGGCAGGATTTCGAAGAGGAAGCATTACTGTTATTCAGAAAAATGCATGTGAGAGGTATGATGATTGATGATTTCACATACCCTTCTGTTCTAAATTGTTTTGCTTTCCTAAAGGACATGAAAAATGCGAAATCTGTCCATTCTTTAATTGTCAAAACTGGATTTGAGGATTACAAACTTGTTAGTAATGCCCTTGTGGACATGTATGCAAAGTTGGGAGACTTGGGTTCTGCTTTTCAGGTGTTCAATAGTATGCTAGACAGGGATGTGATTTCATGGACCTCTCTGGTCACTGGTTATGCACACAATGAGTCCTATATAGAAGCTCTAAAGTTGTTTTGTGAAATGAGAATTGAAGGGATCGATCCTGACCAAATTGTCACTGCCAGCGTTTTAAGTGCCTGTGCAGAACTGACAATTCTGGAATTTGGACAACAAGTTCATGCAAATTTTATTAAATCTGGCCTTCAGTCATCCTCGTCAGTCAATAATTCCCTTGTAACAATGTATGCCAAATGTGGGTGCATAGAAGATGCTAACAAAGTTTTTAACTCAATGAGAGTTCGGGACGTGATTACATGGACTGCTCTTATAGTTGGTTATGCTCAAAATGGTAAAGGGGAGGACTCAATTAAATTTTACGAGGAGATGATTGCAAGTGGCACAAAACCTGACTTTATTACTTTTATTGGAGTACTATTTGCTTGCAGCCATGCTGGTCTTGTGGAACATGGGCGCCGGTACTTTGAATCAATGGATAAAATATATGGAATAAAGCCGGGACCCGATCACTATGCCTGTATGATCGACCTTCTAGGGCGCTCGGGGAAAATGGAGGAAGCCAAGGAATTAATAAATCAAATGGTTGTGGAACCTGATGCAACTGTGTGGAAAGCACTGCTGTCTGCATGTCGAGTACATGGTAATTTAGAGCTGGCAGAGAGGGCAGCAATGACCCTCTTTGAATTGGAACCTCGTAATGCCATGCCTTATGTTATGTTATCAAATATCTATTCTGCAGCTCGAAAATGGGAAGATGCTGCAAGAATAAGAAGATTGATGAAATTGAGGGGGATAAGTAAGGAACCCGGTTGTAGTTGGATTGAGATGAATGGCAAAGTGCACACCTTTATGTCTGAAGATAGAAGCCATCCAAGGATTGACTTGATCTATATGAAGATTGATGAGATTATGGTATTGATTAAGGAAGCTGGGTATGTGGCAGATATGAAGTTCGCACTCCATGATGTAGATGAAGAAATTAGGGAACTCGGTCTCACTTATCACAGCGAGAAGTTGGCTGTTGCATTTGGGCTTCTCTTTCTGCCACTGGGAGCACCAATTCGGATTTATAAGAACCTCCGGGTCTGTGGGGATTGTCATTCTGCCATGAAATTTATATCAAGAGTTTTTCATCGGCATATCATTTTGAGGGATTCAAATTGTTTCCATCATTTTAGAGATGGAAATTGTTCCTGCAGTGATTATTGGTAGAATGTTTTATCTTCTGATTTGTTTACTCTCTGAATTCCTTTGAGGAATCTGTCGAATTGGTTCTGCAGCAGCCATACCACTTAAAAAGGTTTAAACAACCTCACTCCTTTTGCTTTTCCCTGTATTGTTGTAATTTATATGAAAATATGGTGTTTGTTGGAGAAGACAACTTGAGGGTTAGATGTTTGATGCAGATCAAAATCTGAAGGTGCTGGAATTCAGCAAAGCTAATAAGCCTTAATCTTATGGAGCTGAATGAACAATGTAAACCAGGTAAAAGTAGTAAATTTATTACATCTAATATTGAAAAATAAACTTGAATATAATCATTTTAAACAGATGAAACACCATACTTTCTGTTTATTTGGCTTGTAAGGAGAAGACACAAGGATCCAACAATATGGGAGTCAAATTTTGTGATCATTTTGAACTCTATTTTTCAGTTTTAGATGGACTGAACTTTTGTTTTTCAATTTCTTCTTTGTAAATGCTAGTTTCATGTACTCACATCTTCCTTTTCAGTTTGCTTTCATAGAGATGCTGCAACGAAAATTGTTAAATTTGATCTTCCAAAATACTCCAATGATGATGATTTGGGGATAAAAGATCTGTCAGGTGCGCTTATCATTTATAGGCACATACATAAATACAGACGCCCACACACAGCACACAACCCAGCTACATCAATTGAAATACACAGCACTGTTCTATTTCTGGTGCTTGCTTTGCAGGTCTCAGACACGCACTGTTAACATGTCTGTATTTGTTCATCATGACTTGTTGTAATTTCAGTATAAGCTTTGAAGGAAATTGATTTCCTTCCTAAAATTTTGTATAATACTTAAACTTGGATAACAGAAAAGCTTCACTGTTGAAAACAAAAGATGTGTACGAGTAACTGCAAACTTCTCGTGGGCCTCAAGTGCTTGCTCCTCATATTTGCAATATTAGAGTTCATATAGGTCCTACTGTCATATCATTTCATTTTTGGAACATACATTTTTCAGCAGATTCCTTTAGGCTTAGTTTGGTTGGATGGAAATAGCAAGAAAGGAAAAGAAATGGAAATTTTTTAAATTTCATGGCTTCATTTGGTTAGATAGAATCAACGAGAAAAGAAAGGAAATAGAAAATTTTAAAGTTTTTTAGGAGTTTGGTTAGATAGAAAAGAAAAGGTTATGGAAAGTTATTTTACACAACAACTTTATGGTATTTTTTTTACTGGGATTCAAAGAAATAAATAGTAGTTTACAAGGTCTAAATTAATTGAAAACTTCATTATTTTTTTTATATACATACTACTTTCTTTTCTTTTCTTTTTTTTTTTTCTTTTTTTTTTTTTACCATTTTTATAAAATAAAGACAATTTAGGTATCTAAACTATAACATGATATTTTCCTACAATTTTCTTAAATAAATTTTCATTTTAACCAAATACATACTAGAAAATCAATTTTCTTTTCATTCAGTTAAATTTTCTTTTCATTTTTCATTTTTCATTTCCTTTCTTTTCTTACTATTTCCATCTAACCAAACGGAGCCTTAGGCTTTGTTTGGAACCAATTATTTTGGGATTTGGAATTGGAATAGGAATAGGAATAGGAATTGGAATTAAAATGAAATTCCATTTCTATGTTTGGAACAAATTGGATTTAAAGTTGGATTTGAAATAGGATTTGGAATAAAGATAATACTATACCATTTTTGCCCTTGTTTAAATGTTAGATGAAATATTTATTTTATTATAAAATATATTCCAAAGTTACATCAAATAGACAAACAACGTGAATGACTACATAATAGAACTTAAATATAAAATTTATTTAACAAATTAATTTTAAAAAGAATAATTATTTATTAATTAAAAAAAAAAAACGAATACTAAAATGTAAACTTAAACCTAAGCATTGATTTAATTAATATTTTAAATAAGTTCATTTATTAAATACTAAGCACGCTTATTAAAGTATATTAATTACTTTGTAACAAAAATAATATGTATATTAACAAGAGTATATATAAATATATATTGATAACTGATTATTATATAAAGTATATTAATTGATAACTATACTTTTGCTTATAGATTAAATTTTTAATTATTAATATATTTATTGATTTTTTTATATATTTTGTAATGACCCACTCCATCACATGGTATAATGTTGTCTGCTTTGAGATTGAACCCGCATGGTTTTGCTCTTGGGTTTTACCCTAAAAGGTCCCATACCAATTGGAGATAACATCACCACATATAAGCACTTCACATTTTCCTTACTCAGGTAATATGGGATTGTACACTCGTAACTCGCCCAGTGTGATAGCCTGTAAGTGTCTCGCACCCTCCCACAACACACCCGCCCACAGGGTCATCACAATCCACCCCCCTTGCTTACAGATTGGTATCAAAGATAGTACCCAGCCGGAAGCGTGGTGATAGTAACGATGTAGATAGTGTGTGTGTGGGCGAGTGACAGGTATCGGCAAGCTTCCACATGTAAACGGGTGAGTTGGCGGATGAGATTTACCGGCGAACTACTATAACGTGTTATAGCGTAAGTGGGCGGGTGAGGTGCACTGACGAGCTACTACATGTAGACGGGTGTGCGTGGGCGGGTGATACGCATTGGCAGACTACCACAACGGCTTTCAGGTGTGTGGGCGAGTAACTAGCACTGGTGAGGTACCATACTTGGAAACATGTCACACTATCCCACACCGCTTGGGAGTAACGGTGTTTATATGGAAACGGGAGAATTATAAATTTTGAGGATGAAATTTCTTAAAGGGGTGGAGAATGTGACAAATTCGTTGCCTTTGTGAGATTATTGAAACTAGTTGTGGAATGTTAATATGATCAGAGTGCGCAGTGGAAGTGGGTAAATGATGTCGGAGTGTAAGGTGTGTAGGGCGTGATGTTCTATATTGTCACTTGAATATAAAGAAACTTTAGATATCTAAAAGGTTATAGATTCTCATAGATTAACATATGGTTATATATGTATCTTGGATAGTTTGTAGTAAGATTCTAGAGAAGTTATTTTCACCTTACATTTGATTGGATTTTAGTTGTTTACCGAGGAATAGTATGCCCATATAAGGTTATAATCCAAAGATTTGGAAGAAAGACGGTTTGTTGGATCACATCCATGTTTGAGTTTTAATATGAGATGTATCTGTATTCGCTTTTTTGGGGCGTGACAAATTGATAGGCTTATGAACTTGGCTTCGCTTTTTTGGGGCGTGACAAATTGATGGGCTTATGAAGTAGGCTTATAAATGTGTAATATTTATTCGTTCAATTTGTATTGTGTAAATATAAGTTTTGTTACACGGTGTGAATTATAAATGATTGGATTGCATGACTTTTGATTATAAAATTTTGTCGTATATTTTTTTAGATACAAAACTTATGGTGGATCAAAATTAGAAAATTTTGTGGGAATGTAACTTTCCATTACCACCCAACTTTCTCACAAAATTTTCCTACAAAAAAAACAAAGAAAAATTTTGTTTTATTGAGAAAACTATATGAAATTTCAATTATACTCCCTTTCCCCTTTTTAAAACAAATTGTATTTATGCATGATTTTTTTTGTAAGAATATTATAATAGCTCTCTCTCTTTACTTATCTTACAAAATTTTATCATTTAGATTCTTATATTACCTTTTTTTAAAAATAAAATAAAACTATTTATTAAATATAAATTTATTTAGACCTATGGTCGTATTTAATACAAAAAAAAAAAAAAAAAAAAAAATGGACAACTTATGTAAATCAAAATACTTTCTATTAACTTTCAAGCTGCCCAAACTATGACATGATATACAGTATTATTCTCACAAGTTTTTTGCAAAAAAATTATATAAATTTTTTTGTTTTTTTCATTCACTTCATTTTTTCCATCAAACCAAACGGATCCTTAGTATTGAGTTCTTAAAGATATATATATGGGTAAAGTGAGAGAGAGAGAATACCCCACCATCTAAAAACCATAAAGAAACACATTAGGTCTGGCTATAGAAAACTGAAACTGTGGTTTTGACTTTCTTTTATCCATAAAATTTCAAAGAGATCGCCATGAGAAAGGAGAACTGGGCACAGATTTAATGGAGACTCGTATTCTTTTAACCAAAAAAAAAAAAAGGGCAAAATGGTATACACTGGGGGGTGTTCTAATCGTCTAAACATCAACCATCTTTTTAGATCCATTGCATTCACAGAAAAAATGAACTGGATATATACTACATCATTAAAAATTAAAAAATGTGTCGTCATATCACAATAACCGCATTGTAAACATGTAGAATGATATAACCTCCTCGCCAAACAGCTCCCAGTCTATGCACTTGCTAATTCTGCTGGCTTATCCTTTGTGAACACTGCCTTACCAGGAACCTCAACACCCCTCCTAACCTCTTATAAGCCAAACATTGCACTATTCTTTGTGTAAGCTCGTCTCTTGCATTTGCTTGTGCATTGTAGCTTGCCTCGTGTTGGCAACTAAGCATACAAAAACCCATTTACATTGCATACAGATCCTACCTTTGCGTGTTCTGAGATTTAGTCATTCCTTCACATGCTCGGGAATGAGACGTTGACGCAGTTCGGTATATGCACCAGCCAGCTCTGTAAGAGGTTTGGCATGACTGACGAGAGAAGAATTTTCAACCAAAAAAGAGAACACAAGGAAAGAAAATAGTATTCACCTTGAGCTGTAAAATTGAAAAGAGGAGGGAGGGGCCGACCACTTGGCAATTTCACATTTGGGTCCCTCAAATCATCAAAGAAAGGGTGTGCGCATGCCTCCAACTGAAAGTAAGGAGGTAAGGTTAGACATCTTTCCAAACAGCACTTCATAATTTTTAAACAATCAGAAAAACATGATATGCAAGAGTATGCATACTAATACACAGGGAATAAAAATAGACAAATTTATAAATAAATAAAAAATAATAAGCTCTTTTAATTATGATGTCTTAACAGCTTGTATATATTATACTTATAACTTTCTATGATAATTAAAAAATAAATAAAATTACTAACTATCCATGTGGCTGAGAGCCCACACAGCCCAGGAATAATGACACATTTATCAAGGGCATGCTCTACCACTGAGCTAATAGCCAGTGGTATGCCGAGTGTGAGCACACAAAACACTTGGTAGAGCTGGAAGTAAAAGAAAGAAAACTAATCTTTAGACAAAATGTCTCCACACGAAATTTTCAACCCAAGCTAAAATTTCCTTAAATTCAGTAAAAATCAAAATCTATAAGCTCTAACTAATGATGAATTTGAACTACAACTTGTTTCCATTGAAGTCTCTGATTGTAGCATGAACAAATATTTGACTCATTCTATGGTAATAACTAGTAGCTTAAGCAGTAAAAGAAAAAGAATGCTAGGAATATTACATCTCAGCATTTTTTGAACAAAGCAAAAGCTAGAGGATGAATGATCAGAAAATTGAGAAGCTTTTTACTTCAGTCAAATCAAGCATTCGCCAATAGATCGGGCATTAAGCAAATTGCCATGGAATAATTTCATCTATATGATTAGTCTTAAATGTTCTATGTAATAAGGAAAACTTACAGCAGTGCAACGTAGTTTTGGTGAATACTGGAGCAGTCTTGAAACAAGATCCACTGCTTCAGCTGGCATTCGTTTGTGAAATACCTAGAAAACATTATTTCATTAAGATTTTGGCTGTCATAGAAATAATGTACCTAACATCAATCAAGATGAGCTAAAGATGGACCCTTCTACTAAAATTGTCAACAAACCTTGTGCCATGGGTGAGCTTTGATCTGAGGAAACTTGAATTCGGTGTAATTTGGATTCATGCACTTAATTTCCTCTCTGGTTGGTGTCCCCAGAATCTAATATATGACAACAAAAAAGAAAAAAACAATAATAAGAGAATGCCCCAAACAAAGGCTAGGATAAAAAATTAAAAATAATAATAATAAAAAGAAGAAGAAGATAAACTAAAACACTTGAACCTTAATGATTTCCACCAGCTGATCAACCCCACTTTCACCAGGAAACATAAGCTGCAGATCATGCACCACCCAGTAAACATCAGAATAAGTACAAATGAAAATGAAGATTAAAAAGAATACGAATGATAAATGTGCTAATTCCATCAAGAAAAGCTAAATATAATATTTAATTCCTCCATGCCAAAAATGCTAAATATAAAAAAAGCTGATCAAATCATATAAGAAGGAAACCACTCTAACCCCAACCCAGAATTGCACCAGAAAGTACTTTTGAATAATCAGGGTTAAAAATATGTTCTAAAAAAACTTTCTTTGGCTTATTTGTTTAAGCTTAGTGGTATTAGATAAACTGAAAATTTTAATTACCCCCATTTGATACTGTCTGAATTAATCGCTGAGTTAACAGTATCAAACAGGTTTTAGATTAATAAATTCAGCACTTAAAATTCAGCGCTTAAAATTTCAATGCTTAGTTTTCAGTTTTATCAATCAGCACCTTAGTATCTCTATTGTCAAAATCATATCCATTCAAGCACATTAGACATACATTGCCTATGAGTCTGCATTTGTACATATGTTTATACAAGGACACATACACAAGCATGCATACATATGCACCTACAAATTTCACAATATATGCATCAATAATGCTAACATGACAATATAAACCGACATATGCTGCATGTGTATATTTGCTCTTTACACAATTTATACATACCTATGCACAATATTTACACAATTTTATATGTACCTATGCACAATATTTACACATTATTATACGAACCTATAGTACACATCTATCTGCCCTTGTAATTACTCATATATGACTTATCAAAAAAATAAAAAAAATTACTCATACATGAACTTCATATACACAAATATATATATGCATGAAAACGGGGTGTTTATTTTTAAATCACCTATACATATAACTATATAAGAACATGCATAAATAGTTCAACAGGATTTTATTTTAAATCCACAAATATATAAAAAGATGTTTATTTTACTTTGAACAATAATTTTAATAGTTTTACCAAAAAATAATTTAAAGTTAAGGGTGTGTCTAGAAAAAGAGGTGTATGAAAAAGGAATGACCTCTTCTTTACATGTATAAATATAAAGAAGCTTTAAATGTATCAACTAGGAAAAAATAAACTTTAAATGTAGAGAGAAAGGTGAAAACAAAATACATAGACAAACATAATAGAATAGAACATTCAGGAAAGATCAAGGATCGTGGTCTATTGGCCAGCAAATCTTGCCTTTACAAGCAAATCTCCATCTCAAACTTAAAGAGCAAAAAGTAGAACTGTTTTTTTTCGAAAAAAAGTTAAGATCAATTGCATCCTTTCAAATGAGTTGAAGTAATTATAATTGACAAGAATGCACCATTCCAAAAATGCCCTGAAATCACTTTTGAAAGATAGTAATCAAAGTATACTTTTACAGTTTACTCCACCCTTTTTGGTTCTAAGCATAAGGGCAACATTTTGGAAGCAGTTTCAAGTTTATGCATAAGATAATATCCTAAACAGTACATGAGAGAAGAAAATATGGTATGCCAACAGAAGACTCCATCTACACATTTAACATACCAAAACTAAGAGTATAAAAATCAGTAATCAGTTACAAAAGACGTGTTATTATTAATAAGCAACATCATCAATTATGAATACTGTAAAACACATGTTCAAACCTTTTCCTGAGAAGTAAGATAGAATACCTCCCATAAACTAAATGCTTACAATTTTTATTGACGTTGGAAATTCAATTACATTACTGCTAAAAGCAACTCAAATATACACCCACCTGCCCCATAAGTAGCTCAGCCAAAACACAACCAACAGACCACATATCAATTGCAGTTGTGTATTCTGTAGCCCCAAAGATCAGCTCGGGAGCCCTGTAATACCTTGAGCAAATATATGCTATGTTTGGTTCACCAGGCACCTACAATAGGGGAAATAATCTCAAGATTTGCTATTTTATTAAAGCACCTTGAATTGCGCATTAAAAACAGACATACCAACATCTTTGCACTCCCAAAATCGCATAGCTTGAGCTGATGAGTCTGGGTATTAACCTGCAGCAAGTATCAAATCTCAGTATAAAAACACCTAAAGGAAATATAAACAGTTCTCTTTTAAAGGGGAGGGTGTTGGGGGGCACATAACGTATCATGTTAATGACTTGATGCAGTACATGTCGTAACATCATCACTAGGTTTCTGCAAAAAGAGCAGCAGTCTAAACCATGATCAGGGGCTCAGCTACGGGTGGGGGCCATGGCCCTCCCAAATTTAAAAAAAAAAAAAATTCATAGAAAACTTATAGAAATTTTCAATTCCGATCCTTCTAGTTATACTTTTGAAAGCTCAAATATTGAGAAACAAAAATTTAAGTTCATTATTATTATACTTACCGCAACACATCGTTATTTCATTTATATATACACATGTACAATATCTACTAACATACATTTGGGAGCGCCGAATCAGCACCTTAGATATGGAGTCCGAGGAAATTCAGTTCAAAGTTTAAACTGAATTTCCTCCAATTCCAAATCCAAGGAGCCGATTCGGTGCTCCCAAACATAGTATTATATTAATTATATTGAAGGATTTATATATTTAAGTTACACCCTCTCTATAACAACTTAAGCTTTTAGAGTACATGGTTGTTAACATGGTATCAGAGCCAAAGGTCTCGAGTTCAAACCTCACAATAAAAGGTTACACGTGAGGGGACAAGTTAAAGAATTTATATATATAAGTTACACCCTCTCTAACAGCTTATACTTTTATAGTAGATGTCAACAAATTCAAGAGAAAAAAGGATTAAAAAGCACTATTGTTCCCTTATGTTTAATAAAAAGTGTATCAATCCATTTTGTCAAACATTTTTGTAAAATGGTGTTTCAGGAAGCATCGGGTCTAAGTTTCGAATCCTCTTGGGTGCAAACAATTCCTTGGTTATACTTTCAATTTTTAATTACATAGTACAGAATACAAATTCCCCCCTCCCCCAAAAAAATATATATTAAAATTCCTGGCTTGGCCCCTGATCAAGGTCATGTGAGCATCAAACTAGTACCATTTTATCACAATCGTAACCATGCTCAAAGGGATTGAATGCAGTTATTGTAAAGATATCAAATCACTTCAATTGTTTGATCATGAAAGGAAATGACCATCAAGTGTTATGCAAAACATGAAGCGTTTAAAACAATCAACACCCAAAATAGACATATGGATGTACGTGTGTTCGTCTTTTTTTTCTATAAATTTTTTCTCTTTTCAAAATAACATTTTATATGCTTTTCAAAATTAAATTTCAAGAACACGAGGTCTTTGGTAAACACCCAAAACATTTACAGTCACAGAAAAGGGGATTTCTTGTCTTTTCATTCTCCATTAACAATCTTTCCAAGAGATACTTTGTCCTCGCAAAGAAATATGAAGTCGCATGAAAGTTTAATGCACAACATACCCACCGATTCAATAATAGTACTGGCACCAAGTATGTTATAAAAATTAAAATAAGAGGAATGCTAAGGACAGTCGCTAAGGCAACTACCCATTCACAGTAGTTGTTCTCATTGGTGAGTAGAATTGTAATTAATGCCTTCATTAATTACAAGTTTCTTACCTTTTTATGGAATATTAAAACTATTTTTTTGGACAAAACAGCCCTTTTAAGCCTTTCATCCGTCTCCTCAGTTCTCACTTGATGGCGTTTACATATATAGTGTATATATGCATATATATATATATATATAAAGCATTACTTTGAGCCTAAGTGGAGGAATGTGTGTGTGAGTACCAACTAAGGAAAAAAAAAAGTATTACTTTCCTCTCTTTTTTTCCTCTCATTGTTCGATCCGTATGCCAGTATATGTATATATACGTATACATATATATATATATATATATAAAGTGTTACTTCTCTTCTTTTTTTTCCTTTTTTTCCCCTTGTTAGATCTGTATGCGTTACTTTCCTTTTCTTTTCTTTTTCTTTTTTTCCTTGTCAGATCCGTATGCCAGTTTATATATATATATATATGCAATCCTCTCAACCATGAATTCATATAGATAATATATATATATATATATATATATATATATATATATACACAAAGGTTAAACGACAATTAAAAATAAATGAGAAGAAAGAATTCACTCACATATTGTTAGCTATTTATATATATATATATATATATATATATAAACAAACCCATATGTGAATGGAGGGAGGAGTGGGAAGAAAGGCAAATGAAAGGGATAAGGGTAGTTTTTTCGATAAAAATATATATTTTATTATCTTAAAAAAGGTAGAAAACATTTAATTAATGAAGGCATTAATTGCAATTCTACTCACCAATAAGAACAGTCCTTAGCATTCCTCTTAAAATAATATTGTCACACTAACCCCTGGCAAAGGTTGCACCTGATTTCCATGCAACCATGGCTTTGTGTTGAAAGTCGAAACTATGAAAGACCTCAAATATAATCAATTTCTGACTTTGCATAAAAGACGGTGAAATATTAATTCCTTCAAGCCAAGTGGTCCAAACTTCATTTACTAATATCAGAAGCTTGGCAGTAGTCACATAGATTAAAAATACCAAAGATGTTTGAAGATAAAAACTGCATCTAATAAAAATAATTCCAATAAATATATTTAAATTGTATATGCAGATCTATAAAACTAGCTTTATCTAATATAATATGTTATAATACAAACAGGACATGCACCTGGCAAACATACACATGTACAGGAGAGTTGGAAGGCAAGTGTAGGGTTCTTTTTGTTTTTTATGAGTAGGACACAGGTGTAGTTTATGTTCCGCAAAATGCTCGATGTGTGCTTTTCCAGGACAAAGTGCAAACAATACGACACTTACAAAAGGAAGAGTGGTAAATAAGGTTTGTTCTGCCCTAACATGTACAATCCCCTCTAATTTCAGAGTATCAAATCTACGGACTTAATCAATAAAGGAAATAGAATGACTGGTATTGAAATATCCATTCATATTTACAATAAACTAATAGCACAGAGACAAGAAATCTTACCAACAGATTCTGTGGTTTAATATCACGGTGACATACACCAATAACACTGTGAATGTAATTGAGAGCTCGGCAAATCTACAAAAGAGAAATCAGATAACTTAAGTTGTAATTTATAACTTAAACAAAGTAAAGATAGGGCCAATATAGAAACATGGCTTGGGGGGGGGGGGGGGGGGGGGGGGGGGGGGTGGGGGGTGGGGAAATGGTGCATACAGCCAAAGAGTCTTGCAAATCAAATCTAATATATAAATAAAACTCAGTTTCAAGTTTCACCTGGTATGTATACAATTGGACATAAATAATGGGCATATACTGGTTCATCTTGCTATAGTGCCGTAAGACTCGGGAGATGGTTTCAGGTACATATTCTAAGACGAGATTAAGGTACACCTCATCCTTTTCAGTAGTTGAAAAGAAACAGTGCTTCAATTGAACGACATTAGAATGGTCAAGTAAGCGGATAATCTGCAGTTCTCTATTCTTGTATCTCCTATCCTGCAGCACCTTCTTTATTGCAACAGCTTCACCTGTTTCCAGGCATTTGGCCTAAAACGCATACAAAATATAATTTAGAAGAAAATACACCAGCATCAATACTTGGGAAACTGAAAAGAGCCTCTAATTTCTGTACGCACACCAAATGATTACTGGTACCTGAAAGACAACACCAAATGAACCAGTGCCAACCACACGCTCCGCCATGTATGAAATTGTCTGGTATCACATTAGAAGAAAGGGAAAAAGAAAAAGACTTCAATTAGATTATTTTTTAGTAAAATTGTAACTTCTTAATGAGAAATATTAGCTATAGATGTATCAATTGTAAGGCAAAAGGGAAATGAATCAAGCAGTAAATAGGCAGAGAAAATTTGCTATTCTCTTTAACATTACGCTCAATTCAATTTTGACTGCAGCAATACATAAAGACAAACTCCCTCCAAGCCAACTTCTAAAAACAAGGAAAAGACAATGTCTGCTCACATCAGCCCTCAACAGAACGGTAAGAATCATATGCACCGTGTTTCTATTTATAAACACAAGCCATTTATAAACACAGGCAACTTTAAGATAAATAAAATCCTAATAGATATGCTTGTGAAAAAGAAAAGGACCCCACGGGGGGGTGGTGTGCAACAAGGAGACTAGGAATCCACAACAAACAACAGGAAAATCATATCACCTGTTTAGGTTGTCCATTGCGGCCACCTACTGTAGTCGCAATTATCTGACCTGTTTCTGTTCCATTGCCACTAACAACAGCAGCTTCCATTTCCTCCATGACACAAATTAATTGTCAGTGACAAAGTAACTATTAAGGGAAGTTTTCAACCTCAAAAACAGTAAGCTTACTGCCCAAAGAGTAAAAATATTGGAAGAAAAAAAAAGAGAGTCAACAATGAATGCATACCTTATCATCATGCTTATCAGGTTTATCATCTCTAATTTTCATTTCATGAATTTCTTTGGGAAGTTCATCATAACCACATTTTTCAGTTCTAGCAAATGAAGATACATGGGATGAGCTTGCAGCAGTTTCCACAGATGCAGAAGCCATACTCTGCTCTGGGCCTGTAGAACATTTCTCCACAGATTGTGATTCATCATTGACCATCTGATCTGCTCCTTGGTCAACCTTCACCCTCTTTAAGCTAGAATCGCCACCCTAAAAGAAGATAAATTGAATTTTTTTAATAACAACTAAAAAGGGGGGAAAAGAATCAAACTTATGTTAAATGATGGGCACATTTAGTCCTGCATATCTTCTCATGCTCACCAAAATTACTGCACAGCTCATCACATAATTGATTTCCTTTATCACATCGAAATTTACATAAGTACTCAATGCGGAAAAAATTTCAGGTAGAAAGACACATGCCTCAAGGACAACTAGTCCATCACTTACTCTATATAACTTTCAAGTCAACATGCATTTATAACTGCTTCTATCTGGAAAAACCAAGCAACTATCTTCACAAATTGGATTATCCTCTATACCATTTTGAAAGCTTGAAGGACCTCCAGCAAGAATGATCAATTCAGTCTTCTTAGGGACAGAATATTCTAGATGCAAATAAACCTTTTCCCAACTAAATGTGGCGGCTACATGAAAAAAAAAATCTATTCCGCCCTCCCTGCCATGACCTCAATCAGGCTATTCTAGGTGCATATTGAATTATATATATGTTCCCTTACTTCAGCTGCTCTCTATTTTCAAGTAAGTCATGACAGCTGGTCATGCTGGACTCTATTCTTAAGTCATCAAGATATATGTGATACACAAACAAAAAAAATAAAGAATAAATACAACATAAGATATCACAATGTATAGATCTATAACAATCAAAACACTAAAAATTAAACATGCTATGTTACCATCTTCAACAAATAAGTCACACATTCATAAATACAAGGTGGCCTATTCCATACAACACAAAAAGGAGTATTACACTCATTATTAGGTATTTAAAATGAACCTGTGCTCAACATCTACAGCAAGCATGATTATATTATGTTATGTGTACAATAAAAAAAATGGTAGCACTAATGAACCCCTCTTTCAGCTTCCCACACTGCAAGTCCTTCCCCATTTGCAATCACAATGTTGAGTGAATCTCTAAACCTATTTACAACCAAATAGTCAAGCAACACATATTACAAATCCACAAATCTAAACAGATACCGTATATATACTTGTTAATTCATACATCTACATATTTATAAGTTCTTTTATTTTAATTATGTATACATATGTGTGATGGGTGGGCCTGTAATGTAAGTTCTACTTAAACCTCTAAATGTTTAGGAAAACATCCTCTTAATAAGCTCAGAACTAATATGAACGGAATATAAAAAATTGAACTAATATGAACGGAATATAAAAAATGTTAGAATGCGAAACTTGATGCATAAAAGAAGGACAAACGAAGTTAAATGCCTTTTACAAATAAACAATAATAACATGACATAAGTTTCTCGAAAATATATCAACTAACAGAACTAAAACAATGCAGTGAACTTTTATAACTTATTGGGCACTTGCTCTATGCATCAAGTTTTTGTTTCATGAGGAATATTTTCCTGCACATCCCTATTGTAACTAACACGGTATGTATTTGAGACTTACAAATTTATAACATAAGATGGAAAAAAAAAGAAACTATATATACTACAAAATAAATAATATAAATGTATATATCTGATGCATATACAAGAAAAAGTCCCATTTGGCTGCTGAGAAAATGGAGGAAAGAAAATAACAAAATAAATTAAACTAAATCAATTATATGACCCAGCTGAGGCGAAATTGTCAAATTTCAGAAACAAAAACTTGGTATAGAACATGTGTATAAAACATGAGATTCAAAATTTCTTCGGCTTTCTTTCATTTTCCTCCTTTTTTTTTTTTTTTTTTTTTGTTTAACTCTTTCATTTTCCCTGGTTTTTTTTTTCGTATAGCTAAATGATGGTGATATATAATTATAATTGTATATATATATATATATATTTGAATAAACATGCAGAGATAGAGAGAGAAAGTGAAACCTACGGGATCCGAAACGGAGGAGCGGCCGGAAGCAATGCTCTTGAGGCGACGCATTACATTCATTGTGTGGTTCCGAAAATGAAACCCTAACTTTTTTCTTTATTTCTAAGAAAAATTGTCTTCAAGAAGAGAGAAAGAGAGAGGGAGGGTTTTCCTTTCTCTCTCCTCTGCGTTCAACAGAGAGGAAGAGAGAAGTGGGGAATTTGCGAAAAGGACACAATCAACCCCTTCAGCTCCCCTCTTTCTTTCCCTTTCTCTCTCTTCATAATTTTTCTCTCTAAAAGCCTCCAAATGTTCCACTTTTCAAAATTTCTCCGGTCAAAGTCATTGTCGTAGCCAATCATTCCAACCTCGTTCGGTATTCCAGTCAAACTTACATTCGCAACCGTCGATTCATCATCACAGGAATCTGACGGTTTGAGTATTTTAGCTTTATCATCCTGTTACAGATTTACTTGTATTTTATGTGAGAGTGGCGCGGTTAGAATAAAAATTTCACCGAGGGATAAATTTTTGCACCGCATTAAAACAAATTTCAAAGTAAATGCAAGTAAAACATAGGCTAAATTATAAACACTCACCTCTCCCTTAATTGTTAAATTTCACTTAGATCAACAAGGTTAATGACAAAAAATTGTCAATGTCAACAATTTTATAGCTTTTAAATTTCAATTATACCATTTAAGTGCATGTTTATCATAATAAAATAAATATAAACCCAACAAATCTGACAGAAAAAATTAATATAATTCAACAAATAAAATGGAATGTTAATATATTCTCACAAATCTCATGCGAGATCAATATAATTTAAACATATTAAGATGCAAAATCCTTGACAAAGCACGTGTTGGATATTCGAGAGTATCATAACATAGTATATGATAAATTGTTCTCTTTTTTTTCGTATTAAGAAAAATGGGAATTCTTTCATTTGTCAATAGCATATAAAAGTTACCTCCAATATATATATATAGAACCTAACAGAATACTGAAATAGGATTTTTTAAATAGTATTTAAATAGGATTTTTCTAAACATAAATATGATAAAAGGTATTAACAGAATACTGAAATTAAGTCCAATTGGTATAATTTTTTCTTACCAAATAAGGAGTTTGAGCCTTATAGTTAATGTGTACACGAATATTTACTATTGGAGAGAACCTATCTCCCATTCGTGCTCCGTGACCATAGTGGACATACATAACTACTGAAATAATTCGGGTGTTATTAATATTTATGAAGCATAAAATTATTATCTATAATTATTAAAGGTTGTAGTTCAGTAATATTTCATTTATCTCTCAAAGTGAATTGTGAGGGTTCATAATTAGTCTTAATATTGAATTATTAAATAACAAAGTAATTTATTAAGAATTAACTATTAAAACTATTTATCAAATAGAGCTTTATTTAAATAAAAAAAAATTTAATTTATTTTTTTCATCTAAAAAAAATTAATCATTGCATTTCGTAAAGAGATGAAACTTTGATGGGAAGCAAATATTTGAAAGAATAAAGTGGTTTCGTTTGTTTGATTGCATTTGGTAAAGAGGGGTGCCAATGGATGCAAAGAGTCAAGAACATGCCCTTCATGATTGGTGGTAAAAAAGGAAAAATGAGAAAGGGTGGCTTTTATCTCTCTATGCCCACCGCATTCCTTTCAAATAAAGGAGGAAATGAGGAGTTTTATTTATATATATATATACACACACACACACAGATGATTTTGCTGTTTACAATATTTTATTTCTCCCATTTATTTCATATTTTATTTCTTCTGCTTAAATATTGTTGTCATGGTTATTTAGATTTAACATATTTTATTTTACATTAAGATTTTATTTATTTATTTTATTTTTAATTTCATGAATAGACTTATTCCATTCCAACCATTCCCTTATGTTACGTTTGGTGTGTATGAATGAAATGTTGATTCTAACATTTTATTTGTTTGGTATACAATTTAAAGTGGGAATGGTCATTTCATTAGAATAAAAATCCATTCCACAACTAAACCTATGAAATGACTATTTCATTCCTAAGTAATTTTTTTTTAAAAATCAACTTTTCAAAAAACCATCATGTTCCAAGTCCAAAACCACCACTACCTTCAGCCACAACCACATCCGCCTTTCACCACCACCACTGCCTTTCACAACCACTACCGCCATCGACCTTCACCATCGCACACCATTTTCCACCACCGCTGTCGCCACCGAATTTCACCACCAACACCACCTTCCCTTGCCACAACCATCACCACCGCTATTGCCTTTCAACACCACCGCCAACGTTACCATCGCCTTTCACCACCGCCACCACCTTGCACCATAGCCACCGCCTTCTACCACCACTGCCATTTTTCATCACCGTCACTGTCTTTCACCACCACCTTCCACAACCATCTTTCACCGCCGCCGCCACTTTTCATCACCATTACTATCTTTCACCAACACCTTCCACAACCACCTTTCACTGCTTCCGCCACCATCTTCCACCACCATCACTACAACCGCCGCAGTCGCCTTCTATCACCGCTGCCGCCACCACCGCCATCTCCTTCCACCACCACAACTGTCATCACTTTCCACCACCACAACCATCGCCACTACTGCCACCACCATTACTGTCGCAGTTGCCACTACTGCTATTGCCTTCCACCATCATCTCCTTCAACCACCATAACCTCCACCACCTTCCACCACCACCACTATCGCTATAGTCGCTTTCTAGCACCACAACCTCCATCACCTTCCACTACCTTTCATCGCCACCACGGCCGCCACTTTCCACCACCGCCACCATTGCCTTCCACCACGACCACCACCACCTTCACTACCTCCCCCCACCATCATAATAACCTCTATTGGTTTCTATCACCACCACTTACACCACTATCTCCTTCGACAACAAACACCACACTACTGCCACCACCTTTCACCAACACCACTGCCACCTTCCACCCCCACCTTCCACCATTGCGACCGTCGTTGCCTTTCAACACTACCACCTACACCACTACCGCTTTCCTCCTCCACCACGATCTGCCACCGCCACCATTTATTTTTTAAAAAAATTATTAAATAATATCATTTTGTTAATTTAATTTATTTGTTATTAAGAGGGATATTTTGGAGAATTCAATTTTTTTTTATTTCATTCTAAATTTAAAATTGGTCAAACCAAACAGTAAAATGGTTATTATCATTTCATTTCTACAGATTTCATATTTACAATCAAACAATAAAATGAAAATGGTCATTCCATATTATTTCCATTCTTATTCCATTTTCACTTGCATTTCATTCAATTCATGCACACTAAATGCAGCAGACATAACATTTAATATAAAAGTGGGAATGACCATTCACTTGAAATGAAAATCCATTTCAAGGAATGAAAGTACATTTCACGTATAAACCAATGAAATGAAATGAAAATTCATTCAAATGAATAAAAACTTTGGCCACCACCACTATCTTTCATTACCACTACCACAACCACCGCCTTTTGCCACCATTATTGCCACTGCCACCCCCTTCCGCCACCACCTTCCATCGCAGCCACCACCACCGCCATTGCCTTTTATTACCATTACTTGAAATGGTGATTATCATTTTATATTTGCAACAAAATAATAAAATAAAAATGATCATTTCATTTTATTTCATTTATTTCTCCATACTAAACTAAGCCTACGGTAAATAAGTTCTTTGAAAAAAAAAAAAATTGTAAATAAATAGGACACGTGGGTAATATCCATTAATCATAAGTAATGAGAATCAATAACCTGTATTAAATAATTATAAATTATTACCAAGAATATTTGGCCGTTAGAAAAATTATACTAATGGAGCTCTGTTTGGAATTCTAATTTCTCTCTTATATCTATATCTAAACTATCGATATTGATTATTACCTCATTTAGTTGTAGTATTTATTTATTTATTTTTTCAGATTTAGTCGTAGTTCACTAATCACTTTTATATTGTTAAGTATATTACATTCTGAATTATATATTTATATAATATCATTAGGGTTAAGTACAGTGGTAATGTTTCTGTGACAAAAATTACCCCTCAAGTTATAAATTTGTGCAAATAAAGATGTTGCACTTAAAAGTATATTGTATCTAAAGCACCCATAATGTTTATTTTTTGAGTAAATAATATCACTCTTATTTACTTTGTGTATATAAATCCCTCAAAAATTAAAAAAATATTGTAAAGAAGGACTTTTGGACTGTTATAGTTAAATATATATATATATATATCTCAAATATAAAAAATATAATAATTTTACATTAATTAAATTGTTATTTTGTATTTTTTTATTTGATTACAAAAATGACATTTTAATATTTTTATCATCTGATTAACTGCCTTATTTGCCCTTCCAATAACTAATAATAGTATTAAAAAGGGAGTAACTTCTAACATGCCCGTAGAGACTATAATGCCCTCCGAGGTATAAATTTTCTTTTTCAGGTTCAAAGTCAAATCTACGTTCTTGCTTGAAAAATATGTGGGTGGCCAACCAGTTAAGTTAATAAGTGCTTCAAGATTGATCCGAGAATTGTTTCCGTGGTGTATCAATCTTCTTCTTTTCAACAACAATTGGATTATCATCGAAATCGTGCTCCACATTCCCTCATGAATGGCCTTGACAACAGCATAACCTCCTCGTCGGAATCATACCCAACACGAAGTGCATCCGACGCCAACATGAAACCCACATCTTTCTCAGAAAAATCTATACCGAAACATCCTCATCATCGTCCCTACACATCTCCACCTTCTCTTTCGCTGGATATATTACCGAAATCAATATCATCAACATTTTCGCGGCGTTATTGGCGACGGCGGCCATGTTGGTAGCGTCTCGATCATCGTATTCAATGTTGTCTAGGTCGGTGTATTCGTAATTGTTGTGAGCAGCACCACCAGAACGAGAGCAAGGTGGTCGCTCGAAGTTGTAGATTGGTTGGCGATTGATGCCGAAGCGTTCGAATCCGAACTTTCTCTTCAACATGTGTGATTGGATTTAATGAACGGAAGGACGTTGAATATGCACGCAAGTTGTTCGACAAAATGCCGGAGAAAAACTTGGTTACAGGTTTTTCAGTCCTAAGTAAGTTACTCCTTTGATTAATTTAGTTTTTGTTTGGAATGGTTTGGTTAGTATTTTTGATATACAAGTTTTTTCTTTTTTGTATTGATGAAAATAAATCAATGCTTCTTTGTTTTCATATCATTTCCTCTGCTAGCCGAATCTAATAACAGCAACAACTCTAGAATCCGTCCGTAAATTTTGTGTAACAAAATATTTTTTTCTGAATATTTCATAATTTGATGATAATGGTTGTGTTGGATTGGAACACTATTAAACTGACGTTTTATTTTCTTGCAAGTTTGGAAGGTCTTTGTGTAGCTCTAGAGTTAAAATCAAATCGAAGTGAAAAATGAGACCATAGAATACACAAATTTAACATGCCCATATATTTCGCTTAAAGGTGGAAAAACATGGTTAACTTCAGAGATGATCATTAATTCATTATATAAATTGACTCGAGATTCTGGTATTACCCTGAAAATATATGTTTATCAATGAATTTGTGGTTTTGTGTGTGCTATTATGGAGGTGCTAATGAATTTACCACAATCTTGATATTGTTTGAGGAATGAAAACCTATTTTATATGAAGACAGATTGTGGGGTTTTCCTTAATTACAAGAACCAACTGTAGTAGCAAATATGGCAAGCTACAGTGAACTTTTACCCCGTAGATGAACATTTCTCAGCTCCCCACAGGAAAAAGAGTTACACTTTCCTCCTTTTGCACACGGTCATATGGCTTTGTAGTCTCTATATTAGATGTTATATATTTGCATTGTCCTTACTTACATTTTCCATTTTGACACTTGTTTACCTACAAGTTTGAATTTATTAGTTTTTTTTTTTTTTTTGGTTCTTCTTAGTATTTCTTGTAGCACAAATAATGGACATATTTTAGTTACCTGCATTATACTATGTTTTTTTGTTCCCTAAAATTATTCCATTTACTTTGGTTCTAGTTTTTTAAAACCTTATTGATTCAAGAGGTTGGTTTATATTTAATGGGTTGAGTGACCGTCTCTATATTGTTTTCTATTGGGGTACAGATTCTAAACATAGTTCTACATTCTTAACATAAGCTTTGGACCATTGGTAACCGGCAAGCTAGAAACCAGTAACTGTAGAACACAGGTCATGCAATCTACGACAGTGAATTATGTTGCTTTCTTAAATGAAGTGTCTGATTAATTTCATAGCTGGTAATCATTTATCTTGCAGTTTGCACCTTTCTTTTACTTCGTTATTTTGTCAATACATCACTTGGTCATTAAGGAACCGAGTGCTGGTTGTGCTTACTATGTCATCTATATAGATTCTTTGTATTGGTTTGATTGTTATAAAAAATATTATATGTATTTTTTTATTATTATTTTCACTAAATTTCTGTTTTATCAGTATCAAACTCACGATTTGCTTCGTTGTGGTGACATTATAGTTAAATTATTGTTTTTATCATAATTGTCATCATGATTAACGTTATTGTGGTGAAACTTAGTTTTTTGATGGATATGGATGTTGAGTGTGCGCAGCGGAATGGTTGTGGAATATAATATGAATAGATAACTCAGAGAGATGGCAAATAGATTCAACTTACTCATTTATCCAATTTTTACTTATTTTAATTTCACCAAAATAAAACTAAAATCAAACCACAAAGCAAAAATAAAGTGCAAGTAAAGTAAACAGAGTTTGAGAGATGACACCAGGATTTTGTCGAGGGAACCTCAATTGGTAGAATAAATCAATTGTAACAGAAAAAACTTCGTTGGACTAAGCAGTCCTGAGATAAACGATCCACTATGTTTGAAGCAAAGTATACCGAATTTTGACTCAGTCTCACACCTTATCGTTTTACCAAAAATCAATTGCTGACAATTCCTGACTTTGCGACTCCCCCGTCCAACAGCTTTCGACCTCAGGCTTACTCTCAATCACTGTAGAAGAGTTGCAGGTAGATTAGACAACACTCCACGAATGCTTTGACCCCTTCAAAGTATGATTGCTTCACCCTTTTTCTTCTAGATCTGAATTTGATGAAGAATGAATGAATTCTGCTTTTCCGGAATTTTTGAATCTTTGATTATGCTCCAATTCCGATGAGATAGAGAACAACATTACTAAATTACTTTTGTGTTTATGTGTGCTCTCAAAAATAAAATCAGAAAATGTGATTTTCTGAATAAAAATATCTCTCAAAGATGGCTCTCTAATAGATCTAAATTTTGTATGCAAAAGCCGTGAATAAACCTATGTGTATGACAAGGTTTATATAGAATTTAGAATGTTTTAGTCCCTCTGAAAATATAGAAAATTTCGTGTATAGGACTTGGAAGGAAGTTTGGTCCAAAAAGGAATCAAACAGATAAGAAAATTGAAGTTCTAATGCTGTCAGGACTCTTGTCAGGACTCTTGGTACCGGTTCCCAAATTTGGTACTAGTTCAAGAAGGACTTCTGGTACCGGTTCCCAAATTTGGTACCGGTTCGCCAAAGTCTCCTAACCTAGCTGGTAAGATGCCTCCCGTTGGCTCTTGGAGCGCATGGGTTCGAGTTTTGGCACCAACTAACTCCTAACATTTACCCTTAAAAAAAATTGGTACCGGTTCAAGAAGGTTAGAAGCCTTTCCGATGCACTTTGGCTACCGGTTCCCAATTGTGGTACCGGTTCAAGGTTGGCAGTGAACAAATCTTTTATGAACCAAAGTTTGCTACCGATTCCCACTAGGCAGAATTGAATATTTCGGTTTTCTTCAACCTTCTAAACTCCCTAAAGTGTTGTTCTTACCTTTCTCGAATGATCTCAGTTATGGTAACTTTGAACAATCTTCCAATTTCGCAGTCGCTGTAGATCCCGATATAATAGCTTGAATTTACAACTTGGCTAGGACTTGTTTTGACACCGAAAGTTGCCAATTACAGAATATATATTTTTTACAATCTTCCCAAAATATATATCTCACAATGGATACCATGGAACATCATTTGAGCAAACGTATCGATGTTACCCTGTGTCTTTTATTGATCATCAACTAATCCATGTTGCTCACCTTCATTAGCAAAATTTCTTGTCATCATCCTCTTCCTTTGTCCTGTTGAATTTCTCTACTCTATCATCCTCGTGTTTCAGAATCAGCAGTGACTTTTGCATTACCAAGAATTCACCTATATCACCATATAGGATACTGTCATCTTCTTCCTCCGGGTAATCATAGTTTGGCTCGACTACCATGATTGCATCATCTTCCTCAAGCAAAAGTTGCTTTTCTTCTCCACTAAGATGTCATCCAAAGTCAGGAATTTCCTCGTTAAAGTTACCAACCCAACACCTTTCTTCAAATAGAATAGGTGCTGGTTTAGGTGCTGCGTTTCTGCAAAAAGGATTAACAAAATCCTATTCCAGATTGTCTTCCCCCTCAGATTTGACGCCATCTTGAGAAGTGGCCGGGTTTTGCGCAACACGCAGGCAAAAGCTTCAATCTGCCTTCTTAGATTTTCTATCACAGCAAGCACTTGTTGTTGATCAAATGCTGCGTTCTGATGAGGACGAACGGCTGGTCTGCGAGGCCGGTTTCTTCTTCTTGGTGGCATGTTGCAAAACCTAAGAGAGATATCCAATAACCTTACACGAAACCACCGGACCAGAACTTGCTCTGATACCAACTAATGCAATCAGCTATGAAAGAGAACAAATAAATTTGAAGAAAGGAAGAACAGAGAGCAAGATTAGGCTAACGAATAACTTAAACACCCACAACTCAATCCGAAAGAAAGGAAAACATTAAACATAAAAATAAGATAGATTTATGACTTAACTAAATGACTTAAACTCAGTAAACAATGCTGCCCCTATTAATGTGATCTCAGTCTAGTCTTCTTAGAATCTTCAACTGTTTGAAGAAAATCCTATCCCATTTGCACTGCATCGAATTTGTTTTCTTTCAATTTAATTATTTTTGCCCCGGGAATGTATTAATCTTGTTTAATTGTGTTGATTCAGTTATAATGCCTCCCTCTGCACTTGACCGCCTTGGGTAGTTGTCTTGTTTTTATTTTTTACCCCTGTCAAGGCATATGTTCTACTTTAGTTAAATAAAGCTGTTTCTCTCTCTTTATTCTTTTGAAATTTTGATCTCAAATGTTAAAATAGAACTTAATCTTGCAGCATCTCTTCATATTGATTATCCAATGTTGTTTGATCTCTGCAATGCTGCTGCTGAGCGGGTTTCTCACTCTGGGGTTTTGGAGTTCATTGCAGAAGAAGGTATGATATACTTGCCTTATTGGGTAGGTGGTCAATAATGTTGTCGTATGCAATGTTTGGTGTCCATGTGTTTTTTTATTAGGTTGTAACTGTTAGGGCATCTTCAAAGCATTTATTTTCCGTGAATTACTTTCAATTGCTTCCTTTTAGAAGATGGAGAATTTACTTTTACAAGAAGGAGACATTGTGCGAGTGAAAAATTTGACTCTTAATTTGGATGTGGTGTGATAGCCCGGTGGTAGGGCAAGTGTTGCTTGTGGCCAAAGGCCCAGGTTCGAATCCCCACTCCATCAGTCAGTATTCGTAAATAACTATTTAATTAAATTATTTAACTTGTCAAAAAAAAACAAAAAAAAAAATGACTCTCAATTTAGAAAAAAGAAAAAGAAAAATGTGACTCTTCCAAAGGGAATGTGTGTTAAACTGCAAACCCCATACGAAGGACTTCTAGGATATTTCCAACCCAAAAGCCATGTGAGTTCATTATTCTTATATTTATTTTTTCAGTTGGTAGAAGGTTGTGCTATTTATTTGCCCATTAATTTTTGTTGCTTTAGTTTGGAGGCTTCTTGAAGGTACATTCAGTGGAAATTTGGTCGTGTGTGTGTTCCATCATGTTTTGGGGTTTTCACTTTCTTTTTTGTTTCTTCTTTGTTTGTTGATTATATTCTATATCGAAATTTCCAGAAATCAGATTGTGTGATTTATGTTTCAATTTTTGATGTTGTATTGCTGTTTGATTTTGAACAGTTCAAAATGATTACTCTCTCTCTCTCTCTCTTCCTTTTCTTTCCTTTCTAAATAACTTCGGTAAATATTCTCATTACCATTGAACTGCTGTGAAAACAATGCATCGCTATAATTATCAACAAGAAAGATGTCTGGTTTACTGAGTATTGGTTGTATTGTCAGAGTACTTGAATTAAGCACTTTCAAACATGTTAATTTTTTCAAACAACACTGGTTACTGAGTATTCTGTCATGCAATGTTTGAGTACTATGAAAATACAAAATGACTTAATAAAAATCTTGGGAAAGCATTTTACCTATTGTTTTCATTGTTATGACCAACCCTGCAATGAACAAAACTTCTTGTGACGTGTTAGTTGTGAGATTGTAAAATGGAACCTTCAGCAAAACAGAATTCATAAATATGTTTTTTTTTTTTCCTTTCCCTAAATGAGGTGTTGAGCTGTCATTAGAATAACATAAATATTCTTTTAATTGGAGATATATATATATATATATATATATATATATATATATATATATTTTATAATCATTTTTTAATAGTTTTATTTTTATTTTTATTTTTTTTATATATTAGAAGATCATTTACAGCGGTGACTTAAGATTGCATAGTTTGTTTTTTCAATTTTTTATTTTTAATATTTACTGTTAAATTGCACATTGGACATTATATGGAAGCTTTTTTGGGGATTAGAAAAATATTTTCACACATTAATTTTATGGTCTGGCCTTCAATATCTGTATAAAATATCTGGTATAAGAATAACATGTTGGTCCCTTTTTGTTTCTGTCATATTCTTTGAGTAGATCTCCTAATTTGACTTTTTTGTTCTTTTCTCATTCAGTTTGGAGACAACGCTGAGGAACTTTTCTTGCTTAACCACAGGGGATAGTATTATGGTGGCATACAACAACACAAAATATTACATAGACATTATAGAAACAAATCCTTCTAATGCAGTAAGTATCATTGAAACAGACTACGAGGTGGATTTTTCACCTCCACTTGACTACAAGGAACCGGAAAAACCACTTGCATCTGCTTCTGCAAGCCAGGCACTGGCAGAAGGTGCAATATTTGTTAATTTGCCATATATCAGTTTCAGTCTCTTTGTTTCCATTCTTGTCATGGTTATTTCGTTGTTCTTAGTTGGTGCTCACTTCTCACAAAATTTAGCGAGGTATATAACCATGCAAGTCCAGCATGTACTCTTTATTGCATAAACATAACTTTCTCCTTTTTAACAAAATTACTATGGTCGGATCCTGGGTTTTAACTTAGTGAAATGCTTCTCTCCTGTGTCCCATTTTCATTAACGCCTTCTGATACCAGGTTGGTAAATGGTAACTTGTCAAATCTTTCCACTCCTATAAAAAAAGGCAAGTCTAAATATCACGCTGATCTTGAGGTTGATTTGTTGGAACTTCGTTTTTGTTAGCTTTTGTGCATGATGTGGAGTACAATTTGTGCTTGTAAACCATGTTAGTTGGTGGTTTTATAAGAGCATTTCTCTATCTTGTACCTTTTCAAAATAATTTTCATGTAGACTAGTGCTTGCTAATTAATTCCCTTCATGATTATCTCTGGCCCAGGGGAAGGTAAGGGTTGGATCCCTTTTTATCATCTGGAACTGCAACCATTCATTTTGTTTTGGGATTTGATTAGGATTCGATGAGACTTACATGGTTGCTGTATTTGAAATTTAAAAGCTGAAATTACTGGGTTTGGAGATAATAGCACCGTGCTTTATAAATTGTTGAGGTTTACTTATGTGACTTCTTATCACAGATTGGAACCTCTTAGATGATTGTCATAATCCTGTTCATGACTTCATGCATGCAATTGTATGATGCAAATTGTTTCTCCTTCATGTGGTATTATGATACATCATTTGTACTACAATGGTGATGATAAGTACGTACCAGTTCAAATAGTGTGAGCATTTAAAAAATACCCAATATTTGGTTTATGCATTTGCTGTTGTTTGGAGACCTCGTTTGCTTAAAAAACTTAAAGATGCAATAATCCAGTACGAGATTTATGTTTGCAATTTCTGCTTGTTTCATGATATCATTTAAGCAAATAACTCTCTTTTTCTTCATGCAGGTCAAGAGGCTCCGGAGCTTCCTCTGGGTCCAAAGACAAACGACCTGAAGTCACCAATGGTGGTGCCGGGTCTAGTTCACAAGGTACCTCTCGTCGGTCTCAGGGAAAGCTTGTGTTCGGGGGCTCAAATGTAAACCGTGCTAAGGAAACACAAAAGGTAAATTTATTCATCTTCCCGTGTCCAAAATTAATTTGCTAACAGTTGAGTTGCCCTTTGATATAATCTTAAACACTGGTTATATCTTTAATCCCGCAGGAAGCTGCAAAAGAGACTAAACTGGAGCAGCCCCAACAGAAAGAAGAGCCAAAGTTCCAGCCTTTTTCGGGGAATAAATACTCACTGAAGGGTTGATTGGATTCTATAGAATCAATGTCTTTAACTTATATTGTTCCCATTCACCTGCGGGTCAGAATTACAAGGACTACATTGAACTGAAAGTAACACCAAAGAATGAAACAGTGGGTTGTTTCAAAATGAAGAATAGAATATTTCTTTTGTGAAGTTCATTATTTGCTTGCGATTGTGGCTGCATTTTTCAAAGTTTGTGCATGTTCTGTTTTTGCATCCTGTGCCACCTCTCTCTCTCTCTATCTCTCCGTGTCTCTTAAATGGCTGCTTCACAGGCTGGTTAATGTTTTGCTTTCCCTTTCTTCATTCCTGTACGGCCATTTCTGTATTGACGATGATGTCATGAAAGCTCGTAGGTCATCTGTAGTGCAGAACAATGGCCAACAGTTCTTTATTTCTTTACAGTCACGCGTCGATTAGGTGCCCATTCCGTGAAGACAATCACTAGCTTTATCTGCTGGCTGTTTTTGGTGGTCAAACCACATTTTTGTACTCAGTTGCAAGAGCTTTAAAACCCTCTTCATTCCTGCACCCTTCTTTCTACGATATTTGGCAAGAGCAAAACTCCGGAGTCTTTGAAAGCAAATCATGTTCCCAAAATTCAGTGATGAATTGTATCAACTCTCCATCGGAGCAATGGGAGTTGAGGTACGCGGTGCCATGTTATTTCTTTTTAATATACACATTTTTTTTCAGATCAGTCCCACTTTGCTTTGTGCTTACCATGGTATTTTGTATTTCATCTGAGGAAAGTTTGGAAGGAAAATTGTTCGGAGAGGATCTTGTTCCAAATTTTTTATTTTTCAGATTAATAAATACTCACACGACATGCTCGAACTACTTCCCTCCTCTTTGAAGATGGGAGGTTGTACCATTGATCCCGAAACCCTTTAGTCTTTCGTTAACAGATGACCTCATGACAGGTTTTCACAGTGAAATTGATGGAAAAGTAACACCTGTGAAATGAGACTTTTTGTTTGCCAACTATGAAATTCAAAGCTTTTACTGTACCAATTGCACGAACTACTGTTTTGGTAGGGTATCCGAAGCCCGATTTCAGTAGATGTGGATCACTAAAGTCTAATCATTAAAACTTTACATACTAACACTTGGATTGTAGGCAGCAGGTTGGTGTGGGATGAATTATTAATGCATGATAACAGTCTTGTCTTTCTTGTGCAAGTGGCCTTGGCCGGCCAATCAACGTTAGATACGTCAAAAAATATGTATGTATATATATTTATTAAATTTGTACATTTTTGATACAATTACTTGTGCCTGTATTGGATTCTTGGATACCATATAATAATTTCTCTAAAGACCAGCAGCGTGTGGAAGGAAAATATTATTGTACTTTTAAACATGTTTACATCTTATGAAACTGTGGAAATGTCAACGAATTCATACCCACATGGTATGTCATTTTTCTCGTAACCAAATTTGGGCCCATGGGTAGCGTCAAATCACCCGCTGAACATAGTGGTGGGGATCGGGCGGGTTACAACTTACTCGACACCAAATTCTAATTTTGAAGAATAATCCATTGCACAGATTTTATGAAATTTTCATATTCCTTGAATCGTTTCATATTTTAATAAGATTCTAATAAATAAACATTACAATAAATGTGACGGTCCTAATTTTTCAAGTCAGTGCATTCTGTAATGAATCGAAATTTGATTCGATAACAGATTCGAAATGCAGTAGTGAAAACATAAACATGGTTTTTAGGAATATACAACGTCCCTATGATGCCAAAGTGATCTTTTATGAAGTCACGGAATTTCACGAGAGCCGACGCGAAATAAAAAGATCAGAAAAAGACCAAAAGAAGCCCCCAAGGGTAAATAATCTTTTTACATGAAAGCAACATCCCAAGAAATGTACATCATTCCCAAAATACATCCGTGACTTCTCATAAAGTCACGGAACTCAAAAGAAAGCATAGCGGAAGCAATATAAAAAGGAAAACCAGACAAGTTTAGCCCTAAGGGCAAATTAGTAATTTTTTAGAAAGATCCAAGTGCAACTGAGTACATCAATGGATAGACAACAAAAAATTAATCAAATTAGACTAAAAAAATTGCTTGATTCGGAATCCGGACGAAGAAGATATGGCCTAACGACGAAAAACGGACAAATAAAGCCCTAGGGGCAAACTGATAATTTTTCAGAAAGATCCAAGCCTAACCGAGTACACCGTTGGATAGACGACAAAAAAACAGTCAAGTTAGGCCAAAAAATCATCAAAAACGGAGTCCGAATGAAGAAGAAACAATCGTTTGAAAATTTGATGTTGAAGAGGCAAAGGGGCAACAAGCAGCCCCTCATGCGCGCACGCGCATGGACTGCGCGAGCGCGCGCAAGGAGGACGCGCTAGAGATGAGCGCACGCAAGGCATGACAGCAGCTTAAAAAGCTGCTGTGTGAATTTTTCTGAAAATCCCAGAACTAAGAGTTGTTTTGGAGGCTTAAATGATTTTTTTTTGCAAAAACACAAAGAAGGAACCCCCCTCAAAATCAACTTTTCTACCCGATCATGTCGAAAGAAAAAAATTAAAACGCGCTGTGAAATGATCCGCAACTCCTAAAAATGGTTAAAGCAAAATACGACCTATCAAAACTAAAAAATGCCTAAAAATGGACTTTTAAAAGAAAATTTGAAGCTTAAAATTACAAAATGGTTTCAAATAACCGTTTGGCCCTTGGCCACACTTCATACATGATTGAAGAGAACCTGTGGAAGTATTAAAACCCACTTCCCACCATCCATGCAAATGTAATGGAGTTAAAGCATTGTATTTTTCTATTTTTCAATAAAATAGCCTAAAGGTGTGATACCCCTCGATTCTAGAGCCACGGGTGATCAAGTCCGAGCACAGATCCGAGGGATATCAGACAATTAATATATAAACAAGCAAGAATAAAACTGAATTAATAATAAAATAATGATACGCTGAAAAGAATTCTAATTGTAAAACCTCCAAAATAAAAGTTTTAATATAAATAAACTTTCCAATCCGTACAACTCGGGAATCCATCTAGTGGACCCCTAATATTTCCAACTGGTAAAACATTTACAGAATTAAAATCCAAAACCAAAATAAGAAAGAAAATCCTATGTAGTCGGAAGAGTGAGTGGCTGTATCTGCATCACCACGATCAAACCCTAAGCCTGGTACTCACGAACACCTGAAAAATAAAGGTGGGTCAGGCCCACATGCAAGTTCCATCCTACTACAATCCGTACATAAACCCGATACGCAGATACATCCTAGATAGCTCGACAATATCTACAATAGTCCATAGATATTTATATACACACTATAGGATGCTCACTAGCCTATAACATAGTTCAGCCTGGGTAGAAGGTAACATATAAAACACGCTTTTCAGCGGCCAAGTACCTAGACCCACCAGGGAACATTAGCTATATCTAGCTACTCAACCTTTGCAATATACGCACCCTAACCGTGATCAGGAGACTCAAGCTCGTATCACAGTACCATAAATATATATATAAATTTTCCTAATGCCGAAAGATAAAACAAGCATCCATTATGTCGTTCAACTGTTTTAGTTGACAAGACATGTATCCATGTAGGAGTTAACTATTTTAGTTAATCCATTCCGTATGTAAGAAGGGGTAGGACTTAGCTATTTGATCTAATCCATCCCTGATATGTCACCGTCCCATACCGGTACATATAATGCAAATGATCCATAAACGATGCACATTCATTAGAACATCAAATAAATCCAGAAACCAGCACAATAGAAAACAGATATTATTAAGATCCTACTATGCATCCAGTATATGATTATAATCATTAATCCTCCAAACAAATTGTTAAAGTATTGATAAACAATTTATATTATCCACATCCATACAATTGATAAAACAGAAGTTAAACAGTTCATCAATTAACATCCATAACCTGTTATAATGATCAGTTAGAAATATGAACTAAATACATTATACTAGATATCCCAAACCATCCTCTCATACCATATTATTTAAATTGCCAAAACAAAGACAAGTAATGAAACCCTCCATAAATCCTTAACAGCATAAAAGTTAGCATTTACACCACATGACGTCCCTTTGATCCTCCACTCCAAAACCTGTGCCTGATATAATATGACACTCTGAATTCCAAACTGCTCATTATATGAAACCCCAACAGTATTCCCACACTAGTCCATTTAGTTTGCTAAACCAAAACTAGCAACTAAAATTCCTACCATTCCTGACAGCATACTATTTAATATTTAAGTTAATACTGTCTATGCCCATAACCCACACCGAACTTTCTGGCCTCCATTAAAGTATATAAATAATTTATATAATATCCCAAAAGTAATTCGATACCAGTCAGTTTAAGTTATTAAAACAAACTTATTAACTTAAACATTCATCCTTCCTTGACAGCATGCCTATTCCACGTTTCTGTTTCCTGATGCCCCTTAAGATTAGCACCCTAGCATAACCAACTATTTAAAGGTCTTAATAGGTTAATTTTAACATATTTGAAACCCCCTTTAATTTTCAGTATTTGCGTTTAACCCCAGAACTCCGAAAAAATTACAGAAAACACCCCGTAGGGGTTTTTTCCCATGGGAGCCGGCTCCCCTTTATTGGAGCCAGCTCCTAGGCTTCTAGAGCCGGCTCCCCCTCATGGGGAGCCGGCTCTAGAAGCCTAGGATGGAGAGCCGGCTCTCTCTTCATGGGAGCCGGCTCCCACCATTTAGGAGCCGGCTCTCACCCCTGAGAGCCCCTCTGCATCGTCTCTACTTCGTCCGATGATTTTTCTGCGTTTCCGGCGAAGTCCGACGTTCCTGTCCCAAGTATTTTAACATTCCTAGGGTTCAATTTAAATTCTTAAAGCCCTAGAAACTTCTCACCATCCAGCATGCATTAATTGACAAAAATCTAAAACAAAACAAAACCGTATCCAAAAACGTCATTCACAGTTAACCGAACGTATGAACAATCTAAAGTCTGATCACCAGTGTCAAAATTCCATTATAATGGTTAACTAACTTCCTAACCATCCTAACAACACCCCACATCGCATTATGAATTAATTTACAGAGGTTTAATACATAATCTAACAATTTATGCAAGGGAAGCCATCTTCAGTTAGTATACGGTTAACCAAATTTCAGACTAAACTAATATGCATAAAATTTGTTTTAAAAGTTTTAATTAAATTCCTGGAGTCTATTTAGAATGCACAGAACACAAGTTTACAGGAAGGAGAGAATGAAACTTGCCTTAAGATTCTGGTTTGAAACCTTCATCGCCGTTGCTAAATTCTGCAACGAACTGTAAACTACCTGCAACTCTCCCACTGTTCCAGCTTTATTCCACAAGCCATCGACTCTTTCTTCCTTGATCCTACCTTCAATCCATGGCTGCAATCCTAATTGATTCTCTCAATTTCCCTCTGTTTTTCCTTCTCAAGGAACCTCTCTGTTTTTCCTCTCATAAACCATTACGTGAATAGGGTTTTCTCCCAAAACCCTTGCAGCATATATTGTTATATATATATAGACTCCTCTGAAACCCTAATCCCAAATCCAGTAATCCTAACCCTAAGTCCAGCCCAACTACAAGTCGGCTACCTAATTACTTAATCATAACACCCTAAAAACCCTTAATTTAGGAAAATAAATAATTAATTAATTTAAAATACCAATTCAATTAAACATTTAATTTAAAACCAATAAACAAGTAAAATAAATCAATTAATCTAAAACAAATAATTCACACTTAATCAATTAAACAAACCAATCCACTATATAACAATTAAATTAAATACACACAAATAATAATAAATCAACTAATTTAACCAAATTACAAATAAGTCCAATAATGTAAATAAAAATGAAAAACAAACCAAAATATTAAATAAACCAATCCACTATATAACAATTAAATTAAAGACACACAAATAATAATAAATCAACTAATTTAACCAAATAACAAATAAGTCCAATAATTTAAATAAAAATGAAAAACAAACCAAAATATTCCCATTTTATCCTTTTGAAAACTAGGGGTATTACATTCTTCCCCCCTAACAAAAGGAATTCCGTCCTCGGAATTCACGAAACTCTGAATTTATAACTTTACAAAATTCATTTCCGTTTTCGTGTGGCACAGCCCCTTTAAATGAGAGCCACCTAAATTCCAACACATCCAACCATATACAAGATCCCTATGTGTAAGAAATAGCATAAATGTGCAACTCCTAGATTGTATCTAGCAACGATCCAATCCTACCTAATATTTAATGAAGGGT